TTGAAACGACTCTATATTCGTGACTTGAAATTATAAACATCCCTCGTATTACTACCCGTATATAAACCAAATTATTTATTTTAGGAAATATTTATATTTAATGTAAGGCAAGATATCGTTTTGGTTGTTACCATCTACATTCTTTACTTTTGTCCAGGAAACAAAGTCAATTTTCGATAAAAATAAAATGTAATAAGTAGGTAATATTTTATGAAACAGTACAATAAAAGTATTGAAATAAAGTATGCTCATACTCCAAAATGAGTCCTAGAGTTAACATTTTTATAATATTATAAATGGCATATAAAACGATTGGACCGTTTTCACAATCGCGAAATAATTTTTTTTATTTGGTGAAATCCCGGCAATTATTGAAAAATAGATTTTATGTTCAGGACTATTATTATGATTCTTCGAACTCAGTCTACTAAAAACCGGTTTATAATACAATATCCCCTAATAGCTAGTCGGTCGATATTTATAGTTACTTAAAGATTTCTGTAATAATTTGCACTAATTCAATCTCTAGTCGGTAGGTAACAGCACCTCCTTGATTGAATCTAAAGTGACATAATTTTGTTCAGAAATTCCTAGGAGACGCTGTCCTTAAGATGTTTTCTTAAATCATTATGACTAATTTGATGATAACTGTAGTATCTTCTAATATGTTACTGAACTTATTGTAACACTTAATCCCATTATATTTTGGTGAATGATGGCTTATTTGTAGTCGTGAAAAAGGTTGATGGATGTTAAATTTTAATCTAGTATCATATGAGTGCAGGTCTTTATTTTTCTTAAATATATGCTCATTATCTTTTATGTATAAAATTAGTTGAAAAATAAAAAGGGAAGGTAGTGTTAAAATTTGCGTTTTCTTGAAAAGTTCTTTACATGATGTTGTTGGTGTCACCTTATACATGGCTCTCAGAACCTTCTTTTGAGATACAAAAGCTCTTTCAAAGTATTGTGAAGAACCCCAAAATATTAACCCATATTGTAGAGTTGAATGAACCAAACCAGTTTTTAAGTATCAAAAGATAGTGTCTCCCTTAAATTTTTGATGATATAACAAGTACTTAATTTTGAAGTTTCCATTTTTATATGAGCTTCCCAATTTAATTTGGGATCTAATATTATTCCTAAAAATTTTATGTCATCAACGCTTTGAATAGTTTTTCCGTCAACGTGCAAGTAGGGTTTGTAATCTGGTAATATGTTTTTGGGTAGAAATTGCATGAAGTTTGTTTTTGTTACATTTAATGCCAGACCGTTATCTTTACAATACTGGTTAAACTCACGAGATGCCTCATTGCTACTTTGAGTGACCTGTTCAATTTGATCATCTGCCATTACAATATTGGTATCATCAGCATATTGAACTATTTGTTGAGAGCTTAAACAAAAATTACTTATATCACTTATAAAAACTATAAAAAGAAGTGGGCCCAAAATTGAACCTTGGGGAACTCCTATTGTACATGGAAGAGGATCAGATTTTAGACTATTTGTTACAATTACTTGAGTTTGATTTATTAAGTAAGACTGTATCTATTCATAAGGTTTCCCTCGTATTCCTAACCCATTCATCTTCAATAATAAAAGATTATGATCCACTATATCAAATGCACGGCTAAGGTCATAGAAGAGTCCCAAAATATGTTTTTTATCATTGAGTGCTTGATATATAAACTCTAGGCAAGCTGCAATTGCAGTAGATGTTGACTTATTTTCCTATTGATTGTGTATCACTTAGCTTAAAACACCTATATGTCTGGTTTAATCATGTTGATCTATATACAACATAGAGCATCTGCCTTCCACGCGAAAAGCCTGGGATCGAATCTGGGCTGGGGACTAATTAAATTAAATCTTTTTTTTATGTTTATTTTATTTTATAATTTAGTAAAATTCAAAAATTATTTGAAAATTAGTTATTTTGTCTTAATAACCTAAAATAATTTTTTAAATTTGTAGATTTTCGTTAATGGGTCGTAGAAAAAATGTACTGTAGAACTCGAGTGGATTGTCCACATCCACTCTTGTACAAACTACTATTTCAAGTAGGCCTGTTGCAGTGTTGCCAACTGTAGCAGAATTCCGCTATGATAGTGAATTTCAACTTTTGTAATGGAAAGTAAGGCTGTCAATTCCTGACGTGATAAATGGTTAACCGGTTCGACTGATTTTGACCGGTTTCGGTTTTAACCGGATTTTTACTATAATTATAACCGGTCCGGATATCCGGTTAACCCTTCCAATCAAACCGAGCCAGTCGAAACGGACCGGTTAGACCGGATTGGGCGGTTTAACCGTAACTGTGACCAGTTAAAGCCGTCACTGGTTTAACTGTAACCATCACCGACTTAATCATGGCAAAACACATCCACCAAATCCTTTGTTTTCAATAGAAATGGGGTCACTTTATTAACCATTTCACCTTTCCTTACCTGTGACAACCAGGTAGTGATTTTTTTAAAATAGGCACTCACTAAATAAAAATTAAATTAGAATAATAGAAATACTACCAATTTTACTTTTGCTAAACTTTATTTAAAATTTAAAAAAGGACACAGTCACTCACTTCCCACTGGGAGGGTAAGTAGATAAAACTAAAAAACAAAACATAAACTATATTCAAGTAAAAGAAACATTCAAAAATAAATTATAATTAATTGGGACATAAAATAAGAAATAATAATAAAAAACTACCCATTTTTTTATTATTTATTTTTGATGCAAAAAATCAACTTATCAACGTTTTCCGGTAGCAAGTAGTTTTTTTTTTCGCCGAAACTATGTTTCCTGCACTGGAAAACACCCGTTCACTGGAAGTTGATGTGGCTGGTACACATAAATACGGTTATAAACCAGTGCAACCGGTTCCGGTTAAACCGGTTATGGTTAAACCGATTACGGTTAAACTGGTTACGGTTAAACCGGTTACGTTCTTTAACGGTTTTTTGTTCTACGGAACCGGTTAGCCAGTCACGGTTACCAGCCTTAGTGGAAAGACTTTTTAAGTAGTAGAATTTTGTGTCTACCAATATGGGATCATACTATATATTTATTTAAGGATTTTTATTTGTATTGAAATTTTTTAATTTCAGCTTATCAATTATTTAAAAAAAAATCCATTAGTAACATTGACGTTTTTGCTTCTATCAATGATATAGTAAAGTAATTTTTTTATAAAAATTGAGGTAAAGTTATTATATACGAGGGCGGTTTGATGAAAAAGTTACTTTACTGTAAAAAAATATTTTATTTTTCATCATATCTTTTTAACTCTACACACTTAGCCCAGCGAGTTTCCAATTTTTTTAAACCATCCAAAAAATAATCTTTCGGAAGTTCCGCAAGATACGTGTTTGTCTCTGCCATCACCTCTTCATTTGTCTGAAATCGCTTTCCAACAAGCAAAATCAGGTGAATTATGGCGGATGGGGCAATAAAGTTCAGTGTGATGTCATTTTGGTTCCACTGACATTTAATTCTAACCAAACTTTTAACAAAAACATTAATAAATTTGACATATACGTTTTTACTGTTTTTAGTTTATTTCTAAATATTGTTTACAGGTCATAAAAAATAGTTTAAAGCTATGTAATTGGTAACTAAACGATTGCATATTTGATGCATGTTATCTACTTACTTTAGGAATATATTTATAAAAGTGAAAAAACGATATAATTTAGGTAAACAAAACACTCAAAAAATCTACTGTCACTTTAATTGTCAGTGGAACCATAATTACATCATCACTGAACTAGCGTATTAAAACTAATCTGTCATATTCTCATATTTATGTAAAATTTTGACAGATGACATCAGAAACATGGCGGAAACTAGCAATATAATCACCGTAGCGAAAATGTTGCCAACCTCTGAAAAGTCACTCTTCCATCAAACCACCCTGCATTAAATTTAGTATATAAAGAGAAATAAACAAAAAAAAAATGATAATTCAAAACCAAATAAGTATTTCTGTGAGCATTGGCTTATAACAGCTTGGAAAAATAACCTTTAAGATTTAAATATTGTTGAATTCATATGGCATAAGTATTGAATCTAGATAGGTAATAGGTAAATATTTCTTACAAATATTAGGGAAGCTCAAAAACTAAACTTATATATACATTAAATAACTAAATGAACCACCACAAAAACACTATTATAATGTTAATATCTATCTTAAATTAATTAGAAAAGTGCAAAATACAGAGTCCCCGCATTTTACACCTCCATTATGTCCGAATCACTGAAGAAAATGAGAATTTAGTGTATTTAGCTAATAGCGCACGCCTTACCATTTTAGTTGCGTAGTTCCAACAGGATGAAGCTATGGCTCATATGGCAAGAAGGTCAATGGCCATTTTAAAGGGAATGTTTCCAGGACATTTAATCTCATTACATAGAGACATTGGATATTCTGTAAGTTCACCTTATCTTGCCCTATGTGCCTTTTTCTTTTGGGATACTTGAACGTGAAAGGTCTCTTAACACCATCCCTGAATCATTTACGAATTGAAAGCAGTAATACACCAAGAAATTGCTGGAATATCGCCTCAAATGACTGCTTAAGGAATGGAAACCTTCAGAGATAAGCTGCAAATGTGCAACCAAAAAAAATTGCTGAATTTTCAAAACTAAATGGAGAAAATGAACTCTGTAATTTTAAAAACATAATGGAGAAAATGACGGGGTACACATTTCTGTTTCATAAAATGAAATTCTAAATAGAATTTGAAATGGCTTTTTTATTAAAGCCTAAAATGTGGGAGATCATTTTGCTGGGCCCTGTACATAAGCATGCCATAATTACACAATATAACTAAACAATTGACCTATTTGTTATAAATTACAAGCATGGGGAAATTAATTTGAATCGCTTTCTTAAAAAAATGAATTTAGATCAAGCCAAACATGTGATATTCAGTAATTTATCGAAAAATCCCATAAATATATATATAAAAAAAACTAAAGTACCTTTCATTTAGGCTGTAGAAGAGGCTTATGTACCTGTAATTAAGATGGATTTTGATGGTATCGAAATAGATATGCTTTTCGCGCAGTTACTACTTAAGGAAATTCCTGATTCTATGGATTTAAGGGATGACATGTTGCTGAAACAACTACAACCTAAGTGTGTGCGTAGTTTGAATGGTTGTAGGGTTACAGATGAGATTTTAAGACTGGTTCCCAACATTGAAAATTTTAGGCTTGCTCTACGGGCTATAAAATTATGGGCAAAAAGTAAGTTACCATTAAATGTATTTCTTATTTAGACAGTCTTCAAATAATATAAAATATAAGAGTGTATGGTAAAAGAAAATGTATTGTGCAATACAAAACTGTCAGATTTACATTAATTTGTCTGAGGAACATGTTTTATCTTACTTATATTAATTAACTAAGTATTTTGTTGAATTTTGTATGAAATGTATTTATCAAAAGATTGTACATCTCTTCGATGGGCAATAAAAACCTAATAATCCATATATCAATGAATAGAAAGGTTCATAAATATATTGAAATGGCTGCTACTTTATTTTTGAAATATAATTTCTGAATTTTTCTTAATGTAGTTTGTTACTTTATATAATCTATATAGGAAGTCTAAAAAGGTTTTATATCCTGTATATAAATGTCTAGTAATTTAAGCAGATTTATTTGTTCTGATAAAGAATGTCTTCTGATTAGATCAGTTGATTTTTAGAACATTGCTTTTGGTATTTTGATACCAAAAGTTTTTATAGTCAGCATAGATGATAGTCTACAAGTTTAAATCTCATGAAGACAGGCAAGTCGTTAGTGAATACTATAAAGCTGTAAAGATAAGTAAACCCAAAATAAGCCCCCTGTGGTACTCCTCTTTGCATAATCAAGTAAATTATTGTTCTTATTACACACTTTGTTGGCTGACAGATAAATATGATTTAATTAACTTGCCACTGATATATTGTATCATTCTACACATCTATTATGTTATATTTTTTAGGACATGGAATCTACAGTAATGTACTAGGTTATTTGGGAGGTGTTTCTTGGGCGATGCTTGTAGCAAGAACGTGTCAGTTGTATCCAAATGCTGCACCATCTACTCTTGTTCATAAATTTTTCCTAATTTTTTCAAAGTGGCAGTGGCCACAGCCAGTGTTACTTAAGCAACCTTCCAGTGTCAATCTTGGATTTGTGGTTTGGGATCCAAGGGTATGTATTTTTTCGTTTTTACTCTCATTGAAAAATCTTTTTAGTACTTTGTGAACAAATCGTTTTGGGAACATTAAATGTTACTATTTTTTAATCCTTTACGTCATAAAGAATTTTTTTTATTTGGCCCCTTATTTTTAATTACATAATTATTTTATGGGAAAATGGGGGGAAGGTATTCTTAAATAAGGATAGATTATTTTAATTTAAATTGCTAGATTTTATATTAATTTTATCTGTAAAGACTTAGAAATTTTATGATTAAAAGTATTTCTTTAACATTACTTTTTTTGAAAACATAATATTATTAAATAGATAAGAATATAGTTCTTTATTTTATTGATTTCTTTTTATCATTAAATATTTAATTTATGAAAGCGTATTAAACATTCTTATCTGTTCATTGCCAATCTGATAAAATTATTTTGTATATTTTTGTAAACTCTTGTTACATTCTTAATTATTTATTTATTAATATCAAATTGAATTTTAATTTATTTACGTTTTAACTGCTTTGAAATATAAATCATTCAAAATACAATTAAATATACATATACATAGCAAGTTCAGGGTGGCCACTTGTGGAAATTCAAGAAATGTCATAAAATTTTAATGAAATTAATCAAAAGACCAGAAAATTTTAAAAATGTAATTATTTTTATACAAATATTTTTACTCTATTATAACTCTTTTTGATCTTGTGTGGAATATATACATATAGCAAGTAAAATTAATTAAAAACAGGCCAATTGAATTATTTATTACAGTTAACAATTACAACACAAGTAAATTTAAACGTTAATTCTTAATTCAAGTTCAGTTAAAATGTAAATTTGTTTGTCAAGTTGTATAGACACTACTTCATTTTTTTGAAAATTTGAGGCAACTGTAAAAATAATTTGATGATTTGAAATAGCATAATAGTTCCAATAGGACAAAAAAATACATTATACAATAGAGATATTCTAGCAAACAACATAATATTTGTCTCTTGTTAAATTCTATTTATGTGATGTAGGATTATTTTTCATAAAGATAGATCAAACTATGGAGCAAATTATTAGTTAACTAGAACAATTAAACTTGGTTATAGGCAATATCAAGCAACTACTAGACTAATTTTGTTTACAAAAACTGAATTGCAAGCACTCACTATGTTATCTACATAGTTGTCATTATAAGAGAGTATGGGAGAGTTTTGTTACAAGGATTATTTATGGTTATGATTCGGAATTGACTTAACATAAGGCTCTGAAACACACAAAAGTTATTATCTATTTCATTTTTTTCTGGTTGCAACTATTGTTGTAGCTGAAGGTGATATCCGGTGTCAGCTGATACTCGCAAACACAAAACTTCTAATAAATGAGACTTTTGGACAATCTTAGAGGATATGCTCAATGGTCCCATCTTCTTGTTCCCGCCCCCTGCAGAGCGGAGATTCTGACAGCCCCATGCTATGAAGATGCTTCCGTACTTGACAATTACCAGTCAGAATGCCTGTGGTCAGGGGTATAGATTCTGTCTAATCATAGTCAAGTATTTGTTTGCTGTTGTTTTGTTGGGATAACTTATAAACTGACAACTCTACAGCTTGTTTCATCCTACTTTTCTTGAATTTCACAAGGAAATGTTCGTTAATTAGTTTTATCACTATCGATGTTGTCAGTTCAATGGAAGGGCCAGGTGCAAAAAGTATTTAGTTAGCTGCTTCCTTGAATCAGCAAGACGGATATATTTTGATGTGGTGTGACCTTTGATCCACCTTAAGGTGAGCACCTCTTGGCGACGTTGTCAACTACATTAAATCTGTAGGCTGGCTCACGAGCTAGGAGGTGCCTATCATCTCAGGAGGATACACAATGGGCCTAATGAGGCCTAAGTGCCGTGGGGTAACCCACCCTCCATACGTTACAGTTACAGGTGCGCACATTATTGATAGATACTTTGGCCCAAGTTTCGTTACATTCTAGTACTAATCGTGAGTCAGTTCATGGTCTTTTCAGGGTGAGTAATGCTTGTCTGCTATCTGTATGTTTCTTCCAGCGATATTGTTTCTGGTAATTTATTTTACTGCTATGAGAATCAATGTTAACTCGGTTTGTATTACACTGGCACTATTGCCCACATCCCATTTTATGTTTGGGTTTAAGGATCTGGAGTATATTCCACATCTTGAGCAATGTTTTGTTTTAAAATCTTCAGTGTAGATATGAATTATACCTGCCACGTCTGGCTCTTCCATTTGTTCTGATAATTTTTTTTATGGCTTATAGAAGATATATCTCGGTGAGATGAAGTTCATGTTTCCTTCACCAGATCCTACGTCAGGTTCTATTCCAACTATGTGGAGTCATGTCATTGTTATTAGAGTAACCTACTTGATGTAAATATCAAGGGCCGTGAGACTAAGAATGACTTCCATGGCTCTGATTGTTGTGGTTTTCATGGCTCCTGTTATGTTGAGTCATGGTATTCTTGTCTGTGAATAGCTATATTTTAATTAATTTATTTTTATTCTTACATTTTCACTATTTTAAGTTATTTTCATGTAATTTTTAATTATATAATGCAAATAGACCCCAGTGCATATCTTATAAATAAATGAAAAAAAATTGCAAGTAGGTCGAATATAAAGAGCAAAATTCAAAAAGGGAATTTGACCGCGAATTTTTAGTGGCCACCCTGTATACTAATTACTTTGACATAAACACTTCATTTCTAAAAAAACTGGTACTTATCTCTTGTTTTGATCTTATCATCTTTTTATAATTTACAGGGTATTTTAGTGTAATTTTGGTAAACATTTTGGTAAGATACTCGAATCCTTTTTATGAATCTTTTATCTCTCAAAATCCGCTCAAATGTTTACTTTCAACAGGTAAATATCCAGGACAGGTATCATTTGATGCCAATCATTACCCCCGCTTATCCCCAACAGAACTCAACGTTTAACGTTTCTAATTCGACCAGGACGATAATGGTAGAAGAATTCAAACAAGGTCTCATAATTACGGACGATATAATACTTGGAAAGTGTTCATGGGATAAACTTTTCGAACAGCCTCCGTTCTTTACAAAATATAAGCATTTTATCGTATTGTTGGTTATGGCCGATAACCCTGATGATCAACTTGAGTGGTGCGGTCTTGTAGAGAGTAAGGCCCGACTGCTTATAGGTAGGTTTAAGACTTAAATGCAATGGAGCATCTGCAGAAAAGACCTTTAATGTCAATGGATCTGATCTATTTTTAATTTTATTGACATTCACAAAGTTTGCCCCTGAGTAATTAAGAGTGATACCAGTATTCACCTAACTCAGATTTAACACCAAAATAACATTGAACAATCGAAAATGGAATGCTTCAAAACTAGAGTGGTAATAGTAATGAAGTGAAAATCATTCTAAAATGTGACAAGATGTATTAAATACTTAAAACAAAATACCTAAGTCTTGATCACAGTAATTTATTGAACACTTTTATATTGTGCTACTAGTTTCGACCTCACAGGCGCAGGATCATCATCAGGTTTGAGTACCTATGATACCCGGGTATCCTTTAATCCTTACATTCACAACTTGTTTATTCTTCCAACCTTACCTTCTTCCTTTCCCATACGTTTACTTTAGTAATTCTCTTCCACCATGGTTCTACTTTATTTTTAAATTGGTTGTGTTTATTTTGTCCAAAATTGTATAGTGCCTTTCTGTTAGTTTTTATTGTTCTTTTCAGGCCATAATAATCCTAAGTGATCGAAATTAGTAGCAAAATATAAACATTTTCAATAAATTATTCTGGCCACGATTTGAAAGATTTTGTTGTAATTTATAAATTAAGTCAGGGACTGTCCAATTTCAAGAGGCCCACGGGTCCGCTGTAAATAAAATTGCGGTTATAAGGACTGCAAATTGCGGTTATAAGGGCTGCATCATAAAATACTTTATATGCAGCTTTATCAGTTAACAAAATAACTACAATTATAGACAAGTAAACACTTGACAGCAATAAAATAAACTTAGCGAATTGTATTCAACGTCTTTCTCTATATGATTCTCTATTCCACACTATTTATTAACTCTGACTATCCTGCTTGATTCAAGTTTCTTAAATGTTCGAGTTCGAGTGTGAGTATGGTCCAGCAAGAATCAAGATATCCAATGGTCCAGTAATTTCGTTACGGCCTTCTATCTATATAATGTGTTATTTTATTTCATTGTTGGAGTAGGAATGACTCACTTATGTATATTTTCATTTTTTTTTGTGTATATATATTTTAGGGCTGCGAAGAATTTCGATGCGTGGGCCTCATGTTGGACGGCCCTGAATTAAGTAATTACATCTTGGAAATACAATGTTAAACATAATTAACGTGCATTTACCAGGAGTTTTGAATTGTTTCAAATGGATAAATTAAATTTTGTTGTCTTAATATACAGGGTGAATCCTAAGTTGGTACTTTTTTTGACTAAAATAAACAACATTTTCAAAAAAACTCAAAATTAAGAAACTTACATTAACTTATTCCAAAATATATCGTATCGGCTATCCTACATGTCCTACACGATACATATATCCCTAGCTCGTTAAGTTAGATTAATAAAAGTTCTGAGACCAGAATTGGCTCGCGAAGTAAAGCTATTGAAATCTCACAACTAAATTGGAATAACAGGTGAAGAAAGCGAGTTCATACATAATAAAAAACTTTAAAAAGGTAAAACAGATAAAAACATAAACATACTTCAATTTTTGATACACAAGTCTAGTCCCGGATTTACATTTTTTAATTCTGTATCTTTTTTATTTTTGAGTTTTCTGAAAAAGTTATTTCCAAAAGATGTTTATTTTAGCGACTTCTATACACAGTTAAAAAAATTCAATAGCTTTTGTTTTACTGCTTAAATCATATAAAAATGATGCCAAAAATATGTTTAATATGGTAAAATATAAATCGATTTAACTTTATTTAAGCAGTGTGTATTCCAACAAGATAATCGAATAATCTATTTTAAAAGAAATAAAAAAAATAGAATATTTGAAAATAATCGATTGATCAAAAATAAGCTATTGATCTAAAATAATCGATAATTCGTTATTTTTTTGTAGAAAAATCGATTTGTCGGTTGATCGGTTTATTAATTAATCTGTTTATTAATCTTTTTTTTTTTAATTAATCAATTAATCAAATAATCGATTGTTAAGGAAATACGAAAAAAGATTATTTGAAAATAATCGATTATTTTAAATAATCGATAATTTATTTCGATAATCGTCCACCCCTAGCTACTGAATGACTTTTATTAGATTTAAATTTTAAAATGTTATGCAACACTTCCTCTATATTTAGTATACCTAAAGAAAAAAGCTTTAATATATCTTTTTCTGAGGCTACAATACAACACAACATTTTCTCATTTTGACTAATTTTTAATATTATGTAGTAGCCCTAGAAACAACACAATGCTCAACTCACAAGGAATGCTCATTTCCTACTGGTTTGATTTACAGTGGCCAATATACTATTTCAACATTTTATTTGAGGCTCCTGCAGAAAAGTCAGTGGTAAATTACCGGTAACGAAATATTCTATAGAAGAACTTTTATCTTCTCTTTAGATAAAATGTCGTTGCATCTGTTTGATAAATATTAAAAAATCCCGGTTATTTTACTTCATAATAAAACATTTTTTTAAGTAAATCTAGTAGTTCATTAGGATGCTAATAAACCAAGTCCGTTCTTGCCACAGAGGTCAGGTCTTTTCCCGGTTCCTCTAGTTCATTAACCTTTCTTTAGAAATTGGTAACATTCCCGCAGGTTAAACACTGGTACGAGTATATGTTACAACTCTGGTCGCTTTAATCTAAGACAGATCCATTGACAACCTAATTAAATGGTATTTATAATATTGTGTATATATAAGTTGCGATTTCAACAAAATAGCAGTACTCATAATTCCCAAACTGGAAAATCACTAATTTAAAATAATAATACTGATTTTCTCTTCAAATATCTGCTGTTATTAACATTGCAGTGTCAAGTTATAGACAAGCAGCTCAGGCAGTAAATAAGCGGCAATGTTCCAGGCAGAAATAGCAGCAATGCATCATTGCACTAAATAAATATTAATGGAGTAGGTAAGGGAAAACTATTGCCATATAAACCGAAATTAAAGGCAACTAGTTCAGTGCAGCTACATTTAAAACTGAGACTACTTGAAACCGATAGTAGTAGTTAGTTTAGTAGTTAAACTAGCCTAACCTTAGCTTGGATACCAATCGAGATGGGAAACTAACCTAGTCCAACGAAATGTTTCATTAGTGACAAAATCGCTGAAAAGTGGTGAGAGATTTGGTCTGCTGATTCTGCGTCGGTTGCCCCTTTTTGAACTTTACCTTTAGTGCATCACTCCAATGATGATTTGAACAACTAGAAGTTCTTGTAGAAAGGATTGTAGAAATAATGTGCTAGATACATGGCTTTTAAGTCTCACAAAAATGTTTCATTTAATTGGTTATTATTACATTACAGAGTAATTTTCTAACTATAAGATTGAGAAAATTATCTGCATATAAGAATATATTTGTTAGCTCACAATTGCAATATGAGCTGTGCAACTAATAAAAATGGAATGAATGTTTTAAAATGAATTTTTAGCTTCTAGTGGTAAAGAAGGTGACGCCACTTGTTAAGTCACGCCCCGTCTAGGATCGGGCCAATGATTTGAATGCAGGCTTCTATCTGTCTGAAATTTTGTACATTGCTGCGTCCAGTTATTTTGTTACGGTTAAAAATATTTTGTGTTTAACAATCGCTAATCTTTAATAATTAGGTTTAGTTCATACAATGGTATGTTATTTTTAAAATAAAAATATAACTTTTAGGAAATCTCGAGAGGAATCAATACATTACTCTTGCACACATCAATCCCGAGAGTTACGCGATGCTAGAATCGGCCAGAGAACCGAACACGTTGTGTTCCATGTGGTTCATAGGACTGGAATTCGCGAAAACCGAAAATATAAGTGTCGATTTGACGAACGACATTCACTGGTTCACCGAACACGTTAGCAATCACGCCGCTAATATTCAAATGTGGAAAACCGGAATGAGATTGGACGCCAGACATGTTAAAAGGAAACAATTATATCAGTATCTATCTCCTGGACTGATTAAGAGAGAAAGAAAATTGAGTATAACGGCCAGGAATGGCACTACCCCCGAAACTAATAGAAAAAGACTATCTGCCGAAGCTCAGCCAGAAGTTGAAATACCCAATAAGAAGAATATGAGAATGTCTGAAGAAATTACGCCGAATGTAAGTCTAGAAGAAAGTGCAAGATCTAAGGTAAGCAGAATGGGCAGTTTAAATTGAATAATATTGAATAAAAATGTAAATTTTTTGTTACAACCCATATGACTGAACACAGGCAAATAAAATAGATTTTCTTATGAGCAACAATTATATGTTGTAAATGATTTATCATGCGATATAGGAACAAGTTACAAATTTAAAAATATTTTTATGTATGCGGTGCGGCAAAATAAAAAAAAATAGCCCAAAAATATATGTTTTTTATGAAAATTATTTATTAAAATATTAAACGCTATTTATGACAACGAGTAAATGACCGCCACGACAAGCCGGACAATGACCAACTCTACTTTGAATTTGCACAATTTCTTCACGAATATTTTCCTTAAGGCGGCCACTCAATACCTCCATTTTTGTGAGAACAGCCTGCCAGAGAATATGTCTAAGAACAGCGATCGTTTCACGTGCAATGTGGCATGTAGCGCCATCCTGCTGGAACCAAAAGTTTTCTATGCCAAGTTCTTCCAACTGTGGTTGCAGAAATTCTGGTATCATTGTTCGATACCCTTCTTCATTAACAATAACTGCTTGGCAACTTCAAAAAAGAAGGGTCCAATGATTCGTTCGGAGCATATTGCGCACAAAACAATTAAACAACTGCTTTTTGATCAAACTGCACGTTCTCTTGAATAAGCGAGGGTTTTCTGTCCCCCAAAAATTGCTTGTCAACACGACCAGAAAGACAAAAATTTGCTTCTTTCCTCATTATCAAATTTTGTCAAATTGGATTCTACTTCCACTATGTTTTAAAACTATTTCAGCATATTGCAAACGTCTTTGAATATTTTGTTTGGATACATACGCAAAATTCCGCTCAGACAATTATAATTGCATGTCTTCCTTGTGGAAGCTTTTGGTTCTGCCTGAAAATCAGCCCTGACAAGTACAATATTTTCGTTTGAAATACCAAAACGAAGACTTCCAGTATGCTTTACATCACTTACTGTGCCATTTTGAAAAAAGCGTTTGCTAGACGTCGAACTGGTTCTTTTGAGCTGTTCGATTAGGATATGCTCGCCTAAAAGCAGGTTGAGTTAAAATTATCAAAGAAATGTTTTGGAAATACAATTTAACAATTTATATGTGTTCTTGAGGCAAATATCACTTCTTAACAAAATTGTGAATCTCTACTTATAAAACTTAACTTTTGATAGTTGTCAAGGAAATAACAAAATTATAACAATATTCAACAGCTGGGTATATTTTGCCGCACCCATTATTTTCTGTTGGACACTTGAAAATAAAATCCCAAAATTATCCAGTTAAACAGTTCCCGAAATATGACCAGAAGTCGCTCTTAAACATAAAATAAACTCATGTTTCGACCCCATATATCATACTTAATAATCTTATGTGTCTCAATGCAGTCATTCATCAAATTATAATTGTAGTTAAATACGAGGATAGTTCAGTAAGTCCTTAGAAAATTCATGAGGTGGCGCTCGTATTATCGAAAATGGTTAGTTTTTAATAAGCATCATTATTTACTAGACATCTAACCAAGTCTCGGTTATATCCATCACATGGTTTCATATTTATTATCCATTGAAGCAAGAAAGTTGTAGAGAATTTTAGAGAAATACACCTGTGCTGTTTTAATTGTCAAAATCATGGAATTAAAGTTCGAATTATTACAACATCTACCTTATTCACCGGATTTGGCGCCCAGTGACTTTTATTTTCAGACTCTGCGAACAACGTTCTCGTCGAACGAGAAGGTCATCGCCCAACCAGATGTCTATTTTGAGGACCTTCCTAAATCTTACTTTTTGTATGCCTTAAACAAGTTAGAGAAATGCTTGGAAATGAGTATAGTGCTAAAAGATTATGTTGAAGAAATTAAAAAAAAAAAAATACAGAAAATAATTTGTGTTCCTATATTTTTTTAAGGATTTGTTGAACTACCCTCTTAATTATAAAATTTCTGTTTTTATTGAGTAGTTTTGTTTAACCTATAAAATACAGCACACAATCAAAATCTGTTTGATTTGTTTTTTCTCAAAAACGATGCCCTCTAGCGAAAAAATGAAAGCACCTTTATGCTTAAAAATGAATTGTGATCAAGAATATTAAAAAAAATGCGACTGTCTTCCGGATTAAAAAACGGATCCCCTTTAAAGACCTATTTGACAAAAAATATGAGTATCTTTATTTTTAAAGATTTCTCTAAGCAGTGGTTCTCAACTTTTTCTCAACTTTTCACGGGATCCTAACCTAACTAAAAGTATCACTAATCGTAAGAAAAAGATAAAAGTCAAGAGATAATGTGGTTAGCCAGGTGTGAGTTGAGTGTAATTTGGAGGTGAAGAAACAAAAACTCCTTTAAATCTCACAGGATATGTATATTTTATGTGCGACCAGTTTTGAAGTTTATTACTTCATCTTCTGGTACACCATATGCTTACTTTTGTAGTTTTCCTCACTGTTTTATCATCGTTCTTATGACTATTGGCACCAGAAGAAGTTTCAGTAAATCATCTGTCTTAGTAGATAGAAGTGTAGTTACTACTATGATTTGCTGTATAGTTTTGGAAAGTTCATTTGGCGAGTTTTGAAACATTTTCCTTTTATGTTTGGTATATTTTGTAATTATGAAGTATGGTATTTTTACTCACCCACTATAACGTTTGACTTTTCAATATAAGATAAATGTATCACAATCATCCCTTGCCACAAGTCTATTATTATAATCGAATTATAAATATAGAAAAGTGCTCTAAAACACAGTTAACTTTCTGCTTATATCTTATATCTTACTTTGACTTCAACCTGTGTCTCTTACCTTAACAGTTGATTTTTATATCATTTACGTCTACAAAAACCTGTTTTTTTTTTTCAGTACGACGAAAGTTCTAGCAACTCGATCAACATCGATTCCAGCAGCAATCTAAGCTTGGCGGAATCGGAAAGTAACATTAGTATTATTTCCCCAGAATCGACCCCTTCTCATCCCTCAACGAATCCCACGAATTCTGCTAGCGTCCCCGAGGCCGTATGCACGTGACAAGGAGGATTATAAACGTTTGTGGATCGTCCCATTTGATGAACAAAGAAGTAAGTTGTTTGAACATATCTAAGGGGGTTCGTACATATTTATATTATAACAGAATTTTACATTACAAAATGTTTTATCACCTTAATATATTTTTAGATCATATATTAATATAGGAGTAGAATATCTTTTTATTGTTCCGATTTTCTTATATGCTGTTGTCTCTTCTCAATTATTCTCTAACTTCTTCCAATTCTTGTCAATCTTAATTTCTCATATTCCCTTGGTCGTTCCTATTTCAACAATCTGTTGCATTCAAGTTTTCCTTGGCTTTTTGGTTGTTTGCCAATAGGGGAACTCATGACAGCTTTTTGTCAAAATATTTTACTGTTTTTTATTGTTTAATGATTCCTTAAATCCTTGTTATCCTTTTTTAGGAAATTTTAAACGAATACAGTCACTGTGCACTAGTTTTCTGTTACAAATAGGGTCTCCTCTGAGAGAGCGCTAACAGTGCCGGGCAATTTTCCTAATATATGTTCATCACAATGTCGTCAACGCAACTCAACCCGCCGAAGGAGGGAAATAGACGGACCACAATGTGCGGTTGCTGCCGACTGAGCTATGCAGTCATATTTATCGATCCAAAGTTTCTTATACAGTAAAATCAGCGTGCAGCAAGCTGCCATTGTGTTGACTACAAGTTGACATCTTCGACCACGTCTGTAATACATTTTAAATTTGAATAATTATTTTTATTTTTACCAATGGTATTAAGGGCCAGTGTTTTCACAATCATTTTAGGATTTCTTGTACGTCAAATTTGGAAATAAAAACTTCCAGTAAATTCTGCCTGTGACTCAAATATATTTTTTTTTTAATAATGCATAATTTACTTACGCGCCCGGGCTAATTTCTTTCGTCTTGCGCCTTTACACCCTGGTCTTATATCTTTTACCGTCACTATACTTGATAGACTTTCTATCTAGTAATCCCAGCCTGGGTTCCTACACTTATAGATTGTGGGAATTGTGTATATCTCTAGACTGAACCACACGTGGCGATGATTGATGTTGTTGAGTATGTATGTCACAAGCAGTTGCGACTTGTGGTAATTTAAAATGGGTGTTCACTTTTTCCAATAATTATATCATTTGTAAGTTCGTTTCAAAACTTTTAGTTATTGTAATAGTTGTTTTGTTTTTAATACGTTGAAAACCATCTATAAACATTGTTAGTTAGTCAACTGACTTCTTCATATTTTGAGATTATTTTTAAATATATATCAGGTTATTAAAAAGCTTGACATTGATTTTTGTGTAAAAAATATTATATGAAACTTTACCTACTATTTTTCAGTTTTTTTTTTTTTAATACAATCATTTTCACAATTTGTCACACATGTCAAATAAAATAATATATTTTTTAAATACCTTTTATTGACAAGAAAAACAAGTGAATTAAAATGTGTATTTTATAAGATCAGTCCCATCACAATACATAATATTACACAGATACAAACTAGAATGAAGATCTATAATGCGTGGCATATCAGATTTTTTCCAGAATCAATGGACTTCATCCCCTTGTAGAAAGCTTGATTTTTCCAAAAATTTCAAGTTGATATTATTGTTCGTTTTTGAGTTGATTTATTTTAAATATTTCAACCCCTTTAACCCCCTTCCCACTTTTATGCATTTTTTTTTTTCACAATCAATAGGAGCTTGATTTCTACTAAAAATATAACCTTTATAAAACTGCACTATGTAGACATAGTTCAGTTTACCTCCCAGGTAGATATCAGTAAATATTTAATTTAGTCTTCATGCTATAGGTACATACCTAACATAGACACAACTATTATGTTTCTTGAATTCATTTAGGTCAGTGCAATATTTATATTTTATATAGTCTTTAAAAAAACTGTAAGTTCATAAAATCCTCAGCTCTACATCAGTCTGACACTGTTTATCAGTACATTTCGCGTCATATATATAACCGGTACACTTTTTTTTTCTCAATGTAAAACTAACTTATTTTTAAAAATGACAAACTGTTTATTAAAAGCGCATTGCTTCGATGCCAGGTCATTTAAGTAAGTTTGATAAAATGCAAGTAATTTCCAAAATAGCGGATGGTTGGACTAGTAGACGACTGGCTCAAGTGTTCAGAGAATTAAAAAAAAGGGGTAACGATCAAACTATGGACAGAAAAAGAAGAAACGAGAGACCAGTTATAACTACAGCACATAACTCATTATTTAAGGGAGCATCCTCCACTCAATACAGCAAGACAGGCAAAAGTTAAAACAAACTTTAATGCTTCAATGACAACAGCATTAAGAAGAATTAGAAAAACTGAGTTGAAGAATTGTGCAGCCGCTCGAAAATTCAAACTTAGTGACGTAAATAAACATAAAAATGTATCTTTGTCTTAAATTAGGTTTTAACTGATACAGTAAATTTTTGAGGGTCGGATAATTTTTTCTGACGAAAAAGTGTCCCAATCACTTCATGGTGGACATATTAGAGTTTATAGGCTGCCTAAAATATTATATTACTTTAAATGATAAGTCCGGACGATTTTCTATAAATGTCTCAGTTTGGATGTATAGAGGAGCTATAGGAATGTGTTGAAGGATCGAAGGAAGATTAAATGCGGGAAACTATTTAAAAATTTTAGATGTGATGTTGCCATCGGGTAGGTTAATCTCCCCAACAATAATTTTATTTTATACCATGACAATTGTTCAATACACATCGCTGACCGTGTACGCGATTGCCTTGTTGAAAGTAATAAGGAAACTTGGGCCTCTAAAAATCTAGATATTAATCCGATTGAGAACGTTTGGGGACTTATAATAAAAAAAATTTGAAAAATTGTATGTAACTCCCCAAAACGGAACATTTATGGAACCTCATTGAAGAAACCTGGGAAAGCTTGGCAGAAGATGAAAATGTATCATTAAATTAACTCGGTGCCGAGAAGAATACAAGAATTTATTAATAATAAAGGAGCTATGAGAAGATATTATTTATTTCAACTGTTTCCAATTGTTATATGTATTTAAATTTCACACATTCATTTAGTTGCTCTTTTTGCATTAATACTGCACTAAATGTTTAATTTGTCCATTGCATTTTACAACATCTGTTTGTAACGATACATTTACTAATATTTTCGTTGTGATGACAACGTTGTTCTAGAAATTATAACTTTTCAAGCTGTGTATATTGATCTTTTAAAATGTGTCAATGTTAAACTACTTTATAGAACACGATTTCTCGTTATAAGAGTTGTACCAGTTTTATATGACACGAAGTATACTTCTAGTATTTATAGATAGGGCATTTTTCTTTAACTTCAAATTCATTAGGGACAACCTACAAAATAAAACAACTATTCATATAAAATTGTACCACAGTCAAAATTATCCTTGTTTAATGGTCGATCTTTTCACCTCTGAGTAAAGTTACATGAAGGTTTACTTGATTAACAAACAATAGCCCTATAGTTTAATAAGCAAGCAGTTACTTTCAAATTTACTCAGAGCTGAAAAGACTGGCCCTTAATAAAATATATAATAAAAATGTCATACTTTTTTTGAAACTTAGTTTGTCTTCTGTTGGAAACAAAAAAAATTGCTCAATGCATAGTTGGGTATAAAACACATGACTATTCTGTAGACCCAGGAACAAAAACAAAATATAAATTACAGCCGTAATTTGGAAATAAAGAAACATAACCTCAAAAATAATAGTAATTTTTTCCCCTAAGACGTTTTTTTGGTAACATTCGTTGAATTGACACACATACTTCCGATTTATTAAAATCGCAGTTTTATTTAAACTTAATTTTTAATAAATACAATACATAATTAATATTGTCTCGTGTTGATTTTTGGAATTTGACGTTTGATAGCTTGATTGGAAAGTTCAAATCACAGATATAGAATAAAGAGATGCAATGACGATACTAACAGTATCTGCACTTTTGCATTACCCTTTTACGACATATGTCAAACTCGAGCTAGTCAATTTTGGTGAGAATAAATGCCATTTTATTAAAATAGCCTGATTTAAATGATATAAAAACATTTTCATTCCGTCAATCTTCAAATATAAAATTAATCAAAATATGACTCAAAGTGGGTCAACTTGTCACATCACAAAATAGTGTTTATGTTGTCTCTACCTACTTCATTCTATCTTCAAAGATTCGGATGCCTCGCCCTACTTTATGACGCCACTGTGTGCGTTGCGCAAAATAAGGTGATTTTAGTGATTTTAAGCAGGTCATTGTTCGTTTCATGGATCTGTTAACGTGTTGACCTCTCTTTTTAGCTAGAGACTTTTTCGAAAGGAACTCGCTCCCTAGGGCTCACTCAGAAAAGTGAGCCAAAGAGTCGCGGTTAGCTAGAGCGAAGTGGCGTACCAAAAAATAGGTATTAACACGTATGAAAACAATAAAATTATTAAAATTTAATTTATATTTTTATGGTATTTATTTTAAAATATTGTGTCACAAGTAGCTGATTAGTTTGTTATAAACGAAGAGATTTTTTTGCCACAGACAAAAGAATGTTAACTTATTAACTATGTCCGAACCCCTTAGATATTTAGCTGGTAAAATTACTAAATTAAATTTAAAGGGTTAACAGTTCTGTTCTAGGTTGCCTGCAAGAAAAACAACCTTATATCGTGTCTCACGTATGTATTAAATAATTTTTCCAAAACAATTTTTGGAGGTAAAATATTATCGCAAACGTGCAATTTTTTTTATAATTTAAGACTTCGTCATTTGGTGTGTATTTTGTGAGCGTGTGTGAATGTGATGATATATTATTTTGAATATTTTTCTGCTTGTAAATACTTATATATTTAATTGAAAAAAATGTTAGTTTTTATTTTCCATTAAGTAGTACGAATTTTATTTATTTCTGTGTATAATGTCATAAAATAGGCAATAGAAAATCGTTGTGTACTCGGTGCTACTTCGAAACAAAATTAAGTTTGCTCTAATGTGCAGGGTGCGATCAAAATGGCAAATTAACGATTGGTTATTATTTTTTTACTATTAACTTTTAAAATAATGTTTTCTAATTAAATAACCAGAAATAAAATATTGGTTTAACCTTATAAATAAAATCAATTGAACAAATTTTTCAAATTGAAATTTCAATTTATTGACTACAATATGCAATGTATATCTAAGTTTGTAATTAAAATAATTTTTTTTTTTATAAAAATAAAAATAATTGTTTATAATATAAACTTATGTTGCATATAAATTGTTAAATACTTTTCATATTTGAATAAAAAATTATACAATTTTGTAACAATAACAAAAATAAATAATGATTATTTTTACAGTTGTTTATAAAAAAATATAAGTGGAAAATATTTTAATATCATTCTATTAAAAATTCAAACAATATTTTATTTGTATTTAGTATACTGAAAATAGAACTGAAATTCTGAAGACGTCTAGGTTTGTTTCTACTCCAAACTAAAAGTAACGGTTTTTCAAGAAATCAAAACTGTTGAAATAGAATAATTTTATTATGTTAATTTATTTTTCAAATAGCATATTTTCTGATATTATTTTATTTTTCAATTTATACAAAATTTTGGATCATCCTGTATATTCTTTTGAACCGATTGGCACCAGAGCGACGAGAGAAGACATTTCCAATTTTGGAGGCAAAATTTTTTTTAATGAAGTGTATTTTTAAATTTTTAAAATAAAAAAAAAACATGCTATATTCTGTATAGGTTTTGTGTTTTGTATACAAATTAATTTTTTTAAATAAAACTTTGAAATATTATTCCATAGTTATTGTTGCTGTTTAGGCAGTAAGAAACAAAAAAAAAGATGTCTAATAAATTTAATAATAGGTAGCGTCTTAGTGAATCACTCTGTATATATAGAAAGATATGATATTAATAATTTTGCGGTAATATTTTACACTTTATAACTAATTATTTTTAAGTACCTTATTTTACGACATTCAGAAAGGATTTTTTAGTCAAATTTTATTTCATATCTGTTTTATTTTTGATACACATTTTTTGCTGTCCGTCATCGTCTTTCCACGATTTTTTTTAGTTAACTCATTGTATACACATTCTAGAAAAACGTGGCTATATTTTTTTTTCAAATAATTTCTTTAAAGATTGTTGCTAGTAGTGATAGGTCGATCGGAAATGTCCACATACATGTCCAACGTATTCGCGAAATTAAATTAAATAATTTGGCCACATTTCTCACAAAGGCAAAATATAGTTTAAAAAATCAGAAACAAATGAATACTGGCTTCTTTGCACCCTTGATTAAAAAGTGACACAACTCAAAATTCACGTATTTTGAGTAAATAACCCTACATCAAAACTTCAAAAATGACAGGCTCCATCTAGACGAGTCTTTTGATTTTTTATGTAGTTTACTAATCTCATTCATGGTGTTAACTCAAAAGACGTGAATGTTTTAACGGTTTTTTAATTATAGCGTTTAAGATAATAGGATATTTTTTAATTTTACAAGTTTTCGTTTCATACCTAATAAAAACAAAAACGTGAAAAATGAGAGTCATGAGGAAACGTACATACTTCTACCATAGTAGAGTCCCTTTGGGATATATCATATGAGCATTAAAAAGAGTCATTTTGTGAATTTTGACAAACCTAAGGCCGTAAAATCTACACAGATTACTAGATTTTTGGTGACACTACACTGTTTTCTAGCATTTAATTCATGTTCTCAAAAATTAATAAATCTATCGTGGGTAGGCAAAAGAGTACAAGTCAAAAATTTAGAATCTGAGTAAATCTACGATATATGTCTTATAAGTCGACTTGTACGGATTTTCCCATAAAAAAAGATATTTCTGTGATTTATACTATGAAGTTCACCCTGTACACAAATCACATACACAGTGTTGATTGTCTATCTATGTACTTTAAACTCTCTTACTATAATTTTAAAAAATCGTATACAGTTTGAACTTTATTATATTAATCGTCGAGATTAATTTCTCCTAAGCCTAACCTGGAATTTTTAACTTTTGAAGATATGAATTAAATACTAGACAACATCAAACAGTTTCACCAAAAAAATAGAGAAATCTAGTAATTCACTAGTTTTTATGGTCATATACATTTTTGTCAAAATTCACAAAACATCCCGTATATTAATAAAGGAAGGGAGTTGACACTTTTTAATGCTCATATGATATACTCTCTAAGGGACTATACATATGTTAGAAGTATGGAAGGTTTCTCATGACTCACTCTGTATATAAAATACCCTCTGAAGGAACAAAGATAATAATTTTTGATAGAAATTGAATAGTCATATTCAAAGAATAAATTTAACAGCCACTTAAGTAACTTGTTTAAAAAGTTTGTTTTATATTTTTCGTTTGATTTTTATTTTTATAAATAAAGTTTTCTCAAAAACTCTTTTTTATTTATGTATTCACATTAAAAAAATACACATTTAACGTTTTCATACATAGCTCTACAAATAAAGTATATTTTTGATTAAATAATACTTTAATATACCAATTTAAAAATCATTAGTGTATAAACTAGTCGACAACATAGAAAAAAAAAAAGATAAACTAAATATGGGCTTAATAAAAGATAAATAATAAAAATAATGAATCCTATTTTATCCAAATCCAACAAAATATAAATTCGGCTCTGACTGTTTTGTATAAGACTGGCCTGACTTCTTTGCACCTTTATTCAATTTTTTTTCAAGATCAACTACTTGTGCAGACATGTTGTGGGCATGTCCGTTGGAAATTAGTTTTCCGGAAAAGACCCATCACTAAGTTGCTAGTGTTAAAAATTTCGAACTATAGATACGTTTTACAAATTTTGTTTGTATAATTTTGATGAAAATGGGGATTATGAAATTATTTTTTTCGAACATGTACAATCTAAATTTGCTTAGGGATAGATATAATATATCGATTTTTTCGGTATAGATTTTTTTTTCATTATAACCTATCGTGGAGTAAGTTATCGAAAATTCAATAAATTTTTTCCCCTTTATTAATAGTTTTATTTCATCGTTCCTCTCCCCATGGTCTTTATAATCTAAACAAAAAGGATTTGACATTGTGGCACGAATCCAAAATGGGGCTGCTTATAGACATTAAAGTCTATAGTGTGTCCCATTGACGAATCTAGTAAAAAAACTGGAAAAAGCCCCCCGATTTATAAAACTCTAAAAAAAAACAAAAAAAATAAATAAAAAAAAACTAAAAAAAAAACAAACAAAAAACTAAAAAAACCAAAAACGAAACAAAAAAATTTTCTTGCATAAAAACATAGAAGAAACAATTGTAATATAAATTTCAAATATTTATATCTCAAAGTGGTCCCAAGTAAATTAAAAAGAAATGAGAAAAATACAATCTTCAAAAAAATTTTGTTTCATTACACCAGTTTAGTGTTGGTACATGACCGGTCAATCGGCAAGTGACCATATAAAGTGACTGGTAATTTATGGTCACCTATACAGTCATTTTCATTCATGACAAAAATTGTATTTTTCAATAAGTTTCTTATGAGCTCTTCAACGATGGGTATGAAATATGTGGGGTACTACAAGGATATCAAGATGACTTTATCTTTCTTTCCAGACAGTGGCAAAGCTTCCATTGATGCAGGTGATGTGTCGCATCCCTTCAAAGTATTGTCAGCTAATATTTTTTAATTGAAATAACATCAATAGTATTTCTTATAATAAATTGAAACACTCGGTGAATTTATTCAAATAATTAAATACAATTTAAATTATTTATGTGTATTTGTCGAGCTTTATAGAATACACTACTTCGCTACAATTAGAAATATTTTGACAGCGCTATAATGCGATGTCTCTTATTACATCTTGAACGCTTGGTGGGGCGAGCCGAAGCCAGCGACCTTTCCGGTCGCGATTCTTCGTTTTTAGTCCGCTGTTTTCACTGGTGGGTGATGCGGTCTCTTAAACGCATCTCGTTCGTGGTATTAATACACGAATGCGAGTATAAACGCGTTCTTCCCCTTTAGCGGTATTTGTTGTGTCGGTTTATTAGCTGACGCCATTACATGGACGTCTAGAAGCATATTATTTCATTGCCAGCAAAAAAACGGAAATATCCATCAATACTTTACTATGAATTTGACAGATTACACGACTGCTCCCACCTTTGAAACATAGTACATGTTCACCCCTCTCCACAAATGGCAAGCAAAACCACTTTTTGTAGTCGGATGAGGGACTATAAAGTAGCTATCATATACTATACCGTACAACGTTATATATTTTAACAATAAGTTTCTCCGTGACACAAAAATGTCAAGACAAACCGCAAAAGTTGAAACGAAAAACACCGTAGAATAATTATTTATTTACTTTTTTAAATCTTAACATAGGTTTCCTGAAGTAATAGCCAAAATAAAAGACCGTATTTTGCGTTTTAGGTTTTAAATATAAAAAATATTGGAAAGTTTATAACAAATTATAGACTTTCCAATATTCTTTTCGTTACTCTGAACCTATTTTTAAATACAATTCTTGAAAATATTCAAAGCTGTATTTTCTGTGATAAAAAAACCGCTGTCACTTGTCATTAACGTTGCTGTTAAGCTTCGTTCGCGGTAACAATCCTGAACTGATTCTGAATTACTAATTCATACTTTAAGCGCATGCCCGAATCATTATCAATTCTGAATTTCTACCGCGCGCGCAATCCCTATTATATCTCGGTGTTTCAGGTATAGACAAGCAGTTCAAAACCAATAATTATTTTACCGCGAACGCAGGATAGAACCAATAGTTCAGTTCTTTTTGTTCCGCGAACACTTTTTAACTAGTGCGCCTGCGAAATCGTTACTGTTAATAATAATTCGGTTTAGGATTCTTACCGCCAACAAAGCTATGTAACCTTAGGAAGATTTATATCAAGTTCATGGAAAGGTAAGTTCATAGGTACTCTTCAAGATTTGTCCATGTTTGCGTAGACTGGCCTAAGGAGGAGGAGGTTCGTACATGTTCTTGCGAGTTGGTATGAACATAAACAGGTTGGTACAAGCTCGTTGATGTTCATTCATACTTAAGAAAAGTATTTCAAGATCATTAAGATGTAAATTCGTTTAAAATCGTGTTAGCTCTCTTAAGTTAGTAGAGGGTCGACTAAGCTCCACAAGGGTTATTAGGATTCAAATAAAAACTAATAAAGTAAGAGCTCAACAACATTTATTACTTAGACCAGCTTTACACTGGAAATAACATGTTTCTACATTTCTCTAATACGTTCATTTTGTGCTTTGAATGAAACCTTATAGTTAATTAGAATAATATAATACTGATATAGGCCGATGTCCATAGAATAGAATTAAAACCTTAAAATTTTGTACATGATCGTTTAGAATGTTTATATATATTATTTTTTTGAAAAAGTTCAGCATTTGCAAAAATATATTTACACATATTTATATAAAAATCGCAAACATTTGACGTTGTAGATCATGTAGGTACAAACAACATAATTAAGGATTGATACTACTTGAATCACAATTTAAATAAATACATGCGTTGTTCTACAAACACAATTTTGTATAAAAACAATAGTTTCATTCGTTCAAGATATACTTATGTGGACCCCTAAAAAACTGCTGGTTCAAAAATGTCAGTCTTTATTCAACTGTTGAATAAAAGTTACAAATTATTTTTATGCACTTTATGGACTAAAAGTATAATTTTAGTCCCGATTTTCAGGGACTACAATATGACACTTATTTCCTAGGGATTAAAAACTTACAATATACCGTACAACCGAAAATACAGTACAATACACGTCAACACTATAACAACCTTGCAGTGACATCGTCATTGCTTTATTAGAGTACCGTTAAGTGGTTTATTATAATTTTAATTTTTTTGTTTTCCTAAAGTGCATAAAATAGCGTATATAAACTGCGGAACTGAAGTGTCTTTTTATCGCTTGACGAATTGTAGCCCTCCGGTCTAGGTTCGGATCTGGGAAGATTTCTTGGGGGTAAATAATTTTACTCGTCGCCGCCATCTTGTTTTATGCTTTTTCGTAAAATCTCGAGGTTACAATTATAAATTTCAGTTAAGTGTTCTGTGATTTAAGTATTCACGCACCCTCACTTGTATCCGTGCCTGCTCCGGTCGGGCTACAAACTTTCGACTCGGGTTAAAAATTAGTGCCACTTCAGTCCCTTGGTGTATACTGTACTATTTAATAACCTTTATCAGATTTTTCTCACCACATTTCAATTCTTTTCAGACCTTATGAAACCCATGCATATGGATTTCATAAAGTGACATTTTTTGAAGTTAAGAAAATTAAACAATACCTATTATAATTATATAATAATAAAAAATTAACAATTTTGGTATAATTTAATATTATTTGTTAACAAATTATAGTATCAATATTATAATATTGATTAATATCGTAGTAGTAGATCCAAATAACATTATAAAAAAAATAGTCTGGTGTAATAGGCCTGTTAATTTTGACCAGTGCCATTAATTTAATAAACCTTTTTTTTAAGTTTACAATTTTTAAGAAAAACATGCTATAATGAACATTGTATTTATATTTTCAATAGGTTATTCTCATAAGCCTCAACATTTTTTGATAAAGACAAACTAGTCCGTACCCAGCTAGCACAAAAACATCCCATCTACGTTAATAAGCTGCAATTTTAGGCTCTTTAAGCTCACATGCAATGTACTTTTAATGTAACCCTAATATCCCTGCAACCACCGAATGTCCGCAACGGCAAGACTTTTATAGCACATCTCACAGAAGTTAAAAAGTGAAGTTCGGAAAACATCACACTAGCACTTTTACGGTACTTACCCTGAAAGTTGCTCTGAAACTTTCTATAGATGTTATAATGTGAATTAGCTCTACTGCATTATACAGTGTGTCCACGGATGGACTTAACTATACTTGTGAAAATATTTATTTTAAATTAAAAAAGTAATTCTTCATAATTTACTTGTTAAAT